CCCTACCCCCCACCCCCCGCCACTAGAGCTTCCATGTCCACTCCACTATGCAGCTTTCATTCTTGACAGTTGTCATGACAATAATATCTAATTAATCCATCTCATTTAGGAACTTCCTCTCCTGCAATGACCCTCCACCCTTCCAAGCATGATGACTGGCCCTTCATAACAACATGCTCTAAGTGTTTGAGTCAGAGATTGAAAATCCTTGCCTCCCAGGAGCAATTTCGTGTCACTCATTCTAGGGCAGACTAGCTTGTTTTCTCAACAGTCCATGGTATCTAGAATAATCTTCTCCAGCACAACAACTCAAAGGCATTATTTCTTCATCTTTCAGCTTTATTCATTGTTCAGCTTCAGATGTATAGCAAGCAATTGAGAAAATCATGGCCTGGATTGGAGGCATCTTTTCTATAGAATAACATCATTGCTCTTTAGCAATCTGGAGAGGTCCTTAACAGCAAATTTTCCCAGTGCAATTCATCTTTTGATTTCCTGATTCCTGGTGCCCATGGTGCCATGGTGTTAATTGTGGATCAGAACAAGATGAAATAATCAACAACTTCAATCTTTTTTCCATCTATGTCATTATGCTCCCTGTTGGCCTTGTGGTGAAGATTTGGTAAGGCTTAATCTACCAGAGAGGTATTCACCAGCTAGAAAAACAAATATAAGAAGAACTTAACTAGATCAGCTTATGTGTGATAATTTTGGGGATCAATCTGAGTTGAAATCAAGTCAATGGCAATAGGTTTAGCTTCATATTTTTGGTGCTCACCTTGGAAGTAACTTACGTCCATGTTTTATAGGCTCATTTTTGGAGTACAAAATATAGGAGGAAAACAGCTAAATGGAAGTCTTGCCTTTAATCAGAGTAGAGAGATCTTCCCATAAATCCAAGACCCCCAAGATATTAAAAATATATCTCATAGAGGTAAATGGCAGACTTACGTGCTACTTCAACCACTACTCTGGATAAAGTTTAAAGAAGAAGTAAACTTCCTATAATAATTCCTGTATTCAGACACATAGATCCGTGGAACAGAATTGAGAACTCAGAAATAGACCCAGCTATCTATGGTCAACTGATATTTGACAAGGAAATAAAGCCTGTCAAATGGGAACAAATTGTGCTGGCAAAACTGAATTGCTACCTGAAACAGGATTGACATCTCACAGCACACACAAAAATTACAAGGTGGATAAAAGACTTGTGAATAAAGCCCCAAACCATAAAGCTCATTGGAGATAAACTGGGATCAAGCTTAGAAGCCTTAGTCTAGCGTGTGTAGAAACTGCCAAATATAGCCAGAAATGTACGACCTGAAGAGAATAAAATTGATGAATGAGTCCTTCTAAAGATTAAATCCCTCTGCCTATGAAAAACCTTTTCAGCAGGTGAAAATACTGGTAAAGAACATTTGACAATATCATCTCAGACAAGAGTCTCGTAACAAAAGTTTATAGAATAACCCTGGGTCTCCACACATAAAATCTGATAACCCAATTACAAAATGGGCAAAAGATATGGAAAGAATTTTTTAAAAGGAAAATATTAAAATACCCAACAGACACATGAAGAAATGCTCCAAATCATTGAAAATTAAGAGATGCAAATCAAAATCACAATGAGATAACATCTCATTCTGCTAGTAGTGACAAAGTTTAACAACACAGCAAGTACTAAATGTTGGACAGGATATGATGAGATAGGAAATCTTAATATTTTTGGTGGGATTTTAAAGTGGTACAACCATTCTGGAAGGCGGTTTGGTGCTTCTTCCAAAAGCAGATCATGGAAATGACATATGACCCAGATATTCCATTACTTGGAATATACTTCAAGAAAATGAGAACAGACGTTCATATTGAAACTTGTACACCAATGTTTATAGCAGCATTATTCACCATCACAAGAACACGGTAATAGTCCAGATGCCCAACCACAAATGAACGGATTGAGAAGTTGTAGTACATTCAGACAGTGGAATATTATGCAGCACAAAGAGCAATCATTTTGTAAATTAATACGTAATTTGGAGTGCCTGGAGAGCATTATGCTGCATGGACTAACTCAGTCCCATAATGCCAAATACTGTATAAAACCAGTTTTATAACCTGAGTATAAGGATCCAAGGCGGGGAGGGTGCTGGGTGAAAATAGAAAGGTGAGGATGGTTAGGGTTTTAGGGTGTTAATCATAGGGTTGCACAATTTGATGGGTGGGTGGGGTGAAGGAAATGGAAAGGACATTTTGTAAAAACAATGTATTCAAACTTTGTCAATAAATGAGAGTAATGGGGGGTGTGTGTGGGGGGGGGGGAAGAATTCCTGTTCTTATGTTTGCTTCTACTTCTCTTTCTAGCTTCATATTTTTATTTGTGTGAGTTTTTTGGCTGGACCTAAAATTTTACTTGTTGTTTTTGTTGTTATGTACTGTCAATTTGCCTCCAAATCATAGTGACCCTATGTACAATAGCTCTAAACCATGCTCTATCCTGTGACAACTTTATTGTCTCTGATACACCGACCCCCATTATCTCAGTTACTGAATCATTTCATTTCAGAGCGGGTCTTCCTCTCTTGCGCTGTCCCTCCACCCTCCCAAGTATGACTTCTTTCTCCAAGGATTCATCCCACCTTCCAACATGTCCAAAGTATGTCAGATGAAGCTTCAGAATCCTTGCCTTCAAAAAGCAGTCTGGTTTTACCCTTTCAAAACAAACTTGTTTGTTGTCTTAGCAGTCCATAATACTCTTCTCCAGTACTACAGCTCAAAGGCATCAATTCTCCTTTTGTCATCCCTAGCCATTGTCCAGTTTTTTGATGTATTGCAATTAATTGCAAAGACCATGGCCTGTATCAGGTGTACTTTAGTCTCCAGATTGACATTGTTGTTCTTCAGTAGTTCAGAGAGGTCTCTGTCAGCAGACTTTCACAACACATTTATTCTTTAATTCTTTAATTCATTCCTCATTATTCCTGGAATGTTTTCTTTTTGTAACTCTTCCACATCTTTCTCGTTACCTTTACTTGCATCTTCCTGTTCTTGGATCTGATTATGCATGTGTTATTCCTCTTGATAGTGTCCCATATTATTAGGCTTTCTTAATTTTCTTTCCTTTTTAATTCTGCTTTTTGTAGTAGCAAATGAAGTTTAAGGTGTTCTGTGATCACATGTGGCAGAAGGCAGACACCCAGTTGTTTGAAAGGCGAAGGGCTAAAGCTCAATCAGGCAAATAGCACTGTAATAACTGATGGTAGTCCTCCCAGGTGGGCTGGTGGGTAAAGAGGACAGAATCTAACTAGTTAACAAGGGCAGCAGGTTTCTCAGAGAACTTAGAGTTCTGCATTTTCCAGTTATACAGATCATTGGTGGAGAACGGCCAGTGGACTAACTGTTGTTTGCCCTGAGAGTTTGGTGGACCCATGGTGCATAGGGGCAGAACTGTAGGCTTAAGGGGTAGTCCCTCTCATCATGTTCGAGCCTGGTTGTGGGGTGGGCTCCCCGGTTCCCCCACTCCCTCCCCTCTCTCTTTCACATCAACCTGGGGTAGGTACGGGGGTGTGTGGGGGGGAATCTCTTCCTCCACTGGCACAGAGGGAAGCAGGACAGGGTAAAATGAAGTGGCAGATTTGGGTTTCTTCTCTCTTTTAGGTTTCCCTTTAGCGGTTGCTACAGCCAAAACTGCTCCTGTAGGGGGAACAAAAGACCTTAACCATGAAGGTGGCTCCTCCACCAAATTTGCCACATAACTATGTAGGCCACCTGGTTCGGTGGTCAGGTGGAGAGTGCCCTCTTCTGGCAAGCCAACGTTAAAGGTGGGCAACTCACTCCTGCAAAGAACAAGCATTTTATTTTTCACCACGTATAGCCCTAGGCCAGCTGCCACACCAAGAACTTCTTTGAAATAGAAAAGACGAGACCTAGAGGTGTTGACTTGGTCTACCCCATTTCTTCTAGCACAAGAATGTAGACAAACAGATTCACACAAAGTAGAACAAATGGCACAGAGAAATACCAGTACAGTGCGAAACAGCCCAAACATGGAACTCTGGCCTTTCCTGAGTACGGGCTCCGGGGATGGTAGCGACCCGCCACTTCACTCCTCCAACCAGACCAGGGGGACAGAGTCCCCCACAGAGGGCCAGCCTGGGAGTCTCCCCGCTGCCCTAGCATGAGTCCTGTAAGCACATCTATCTGCCCAGGAGTCTTGAGCACAGTTACACAGTTCAAACCACCAGGTACAGGGACAGAGAAAACAGACATAGACAGTGCTCACTTAAGTGTACTGCCCCAAAGGACCACAACCCAAGTATGCAAGTAACAAAGAGTCCTTTATGTTGAAGAACAGTTTCTGCATGTGGGGGTTCCCTCCCTTAATAGAAAGATGGGGAGAGAGCCCAAAGAGTCCGCGTGCATGACCTCTTTTAAGCCCTTTAAGGTTCTTTGTCCAGGGCAGGGTAATTGGTAATTGTGAATATGGTTGGTGGGTAGATGGATCAGTCATGTGCGTTGGCTTATGATTGCCTGGTGTTAAGGTGGATACTCTGCCTGCCTCTGCCCTTTCCATGTCATGTGCACACTTCTTCTGGTGTCACATTCGTCCCTGCTCTTAGTCAAGTAGGGCTATTTAAACAAGTTAATTCTGTTGTTGTTATGTGCCGTCGAGTCGCCTGCGACTCATAGCGACCCTATGTACAACAGCCCTAAACTCCGCTCTGTCCTGTGCCAGTCGCACTGTCTCTGACACTCCCATCCGAATTATCCCAGTCACTGAATCAATCCACCTCATAGAGGGCCTTCCCCTCCTGCGCTGTCCCTCCACCCTCCCA